CTGAGGAAGCCCGGAGAAGCTGGCTTTTGCTCTCTGTTCCCAGGCCACGGTGCACACAATGAGGGAACCAGTGCGGTCCCAGGACCTGGCAGGCTCAGCTTTGTCCTACAGAGGTGTTGTCCCCGGTGGCTTACATCTAATTACAGTGGAGGATTAGGGAGGACCCTGTGGAAGAAAAAAAAATTAAAAGGCTGGAAGGGAAAATATTTAAGTGAAGCCACAGCTGCGCCTCATGTTTTTTTTAAAAGGTGAATGGAAATGGCTGCCTGAGATAAACTGCGATAAACAGGAACCCGGAATGCCAGCTGCCATTCCTGACAGGCTCTGCCCTCCCCACACAATTACTGAGGGAAAGCAGCGGCCGACCTCCATTAACTCTCCCGGCTCCCGGCTCAGGCATGCATATGCTTGAAGAACCACGTTAGTCACCCAAGCCTGGGCCCTGCCTCCCCCTCGGCCACCTGGGGGAAATCTCCTCCAGCTTAGGGGCCAGGGTCTCCTTTTCTTCAGAACGAGGAATCAAATGTCCTTAATATGAAGCCCTCAGCTTCAGGATCACCCAGTGGCCCCACCTCAATCAGCCATCATGGTCAGGAAATGGGCTGTTTCTAGAATGTCCAGTGAAACACTGAGAAAACCGTGTGTACCCCTTTCTTGTCATGGCTTCCTTCCTTCTCCTCTGCTTCTCTTCTCAGGAATTGTTTTAGGATGCTAGCTCTTTTCTTTTGGGAGTCAGCATAGTATTTTATTAAAAGAAATACAAAGCTGGGTGGTGGTGGTGCACACCTTTAATCCCAACACTCAGGAGGCGACAGAGGCAGGTGGATCTCTGGGAGTTCCAGGACAGACAAGGCTGTTACACAGAGAAGCTCTGTCTCAAAACAATAACAACAAAAGATATTGCATGCCTTTAATATCAGCACTTGGGAGGCAGAGGCAGGCAGATCTCAGTGAGTTCAAGTTTGAGTCCGGCCTGGTCCACATAGCGAGTTCCAGGCCAGCCAAGGCTACATAGTGAGACATTGTCTCAAAATAAAACACTTTTTAAATGGCTTTTAGTAGATTCACAAGCTTGTGCAAGCTACTATTTAGTTCAAGAACATTCTATTTCCCTTAAAAGAAACCTGGGACTGTTAGCAGTCACCCCGCACCCTTTGTCCAGTTCGCCTTTGGCAGCTACTTTCTGTCCTGATGGGCTTACTTGTTCCACATAGTTCCAGCACTTTAATATTTTTACCTTCCTACCCTCCTCATCTTGCCCGCTCTTCCATTATGCCCAGCTTCAGGTACCATTCATAAACTATCAGCTACCATTTTCTCTCTGCACCAGACAATATGTTGAACACTTCCTATTTCTTTTAATTGTCCAAACAACCTGAGAAATAGATATTATCTCTTTAAAAAAAAAAAAAAAAAAAAAGACAAAACAAACCCGAGGCTCAAAGAGTTTCCGTAACCTCAAGTAGTGTCGGTCTCCACCCTGGATCCTGTGTCCCAGCCTCTGCTCTACCCTCTTCTCAGGTCATCCACGTGTTCCCACTCTCCCAGACCCTGAGTCCATCCTTCCCATGGGTTGAAGGCACTGGTTTCCTGGCAGTTGACCAGGGCCGTTTTATAACTAGGCAGTGTCTTGGACTGTTGTGTTCCTGACGGTGATGCTGAATGACTGTGATGGGCTTCTCAAATGGCACCCGTTAAAAATAGAGTTGCCAGATAACACTGTCCTGTGCAGAAGTCATCTGGGCACGCAGTTGTTTGAGAACTAGAAATGAGTTCAGGCTGTTCCCAACAGCTTCTGTTTGGGATAGGCTGCTCGGGGGGTGGGAAACCAACTGTATACCCTGTTAGGGTTTCGCTTGAACACTTCTAGCAGTCAGGTTCGACAGTTATACTTTCCCCCCCCATCACCAAAGTTCCCATTCTAAGTAACTACTGAACTTACAATTGTAGCACAAATCCTATTTGGTCTTAATAATAAAAACCCGGAGTCAGAAAGCAGGGTGAAAGCTGAAAGATCAGAAAATCAGAGCAGCCAGCCTGAAAATACAAACAACAACAGGTCTTTGTTAAACACCTTTGTTCTAGTCCATAACAGTCAGACTGGTTCCCTATCAGGGCCCTTGTATATCAACGCTTATTCCCTCAGAGCATGGGAAGGCAGACAGTCAGCAACCCTGTTCAAAACCACCTTCACGGTCACACTAATGTAAACACCTCATCCCATAAACTAATAGCCCAGCACTTTTGATGTCAGCCATTCTCAGGAAAAACAGATGAACTTGCCCCCATGGTGGCCCTCCTGGATAATAGGTATTCAAGGCCAGCTTTCCCAAGTCGTGCTCCTGAAATTTCAAAGGCAATCCAGGAAACCTGCAGCTGACATTTCTTCGTGACCTTTTGGTAGAATGTTTAGTGTAAGTGAGATGGAAAATGTCAGAAATACTAAATGAAAAGGAAAGCGTCTGGGCTTAATATCCATTCAGCCACACGGTGGAAAGATCCAATGCCATTTAGCGACTGTATCCACTCATAATTTAAAAGCACTTCCCAGGGAATAAAATAAAGTGCAAGAATTTGAAATAACCTGCATTAGACAAGTATTTATGCACTTTGGCATTCAAAGGTATTCCATTTCTTTCTCATAGAATGCTATTTTCCTATTCTGAGCTTGTTACAAATCCATGGTTTATCTCAGCAAGAAAATAATTAAAAAGTATCGGCCATATACCCAAGTTTTCTTGCTTACTGTTTAATTCCAAAGAAAGTCACTGAAATTTGCCACTGAACAAATACATCTTGTACTTTTGCTTCCTGATCTTTCAAAGCCTCAGCCTCGCCCACCCTGGAGAGCCACCTACAGTTATTACAGTCCAGCTGTCTTCCAGGCAGAGGAGAGAAACAAGTGACCGCCATTTCCTAAAGGAAGAGTGCTTTTTCCACAGGGAGCGTCAGATTCCCAGTTGGGTTCCCTGGTGGATGCTGCTAATGGTGATGAACTAGGTATCACAAGGTGATAGATTGCATGGAGGCAAGAAGATCATCAATTGCTTCAAACAAGCATCCTCACAGGGTCTTAGGGGAGGCCAGACTGCTACAGATCACGTGGTCCTGGCTGCAGAGGCTGGACATGCTACATGGAACAGATGTGGGCATGGGGGAAGGGGAATTAGCACTGTGCATCTGAACGTCAGAGCAGCAGCATCTGGAAGCTGCACCCTCTCAGCGCCAGCCCAGGCCTGAAGCAGAAGCGTAGCCTGTGCTTTTACAAGCCTTCTGGGAGACTGCCATGCACATTCGGGTTAGGGATCTACTGACTCAAAGAAATGTGTCACCCACAGTGAGCGTGTGTGTGTGTGTGTGTGTGTGTGTGTGTGTGTGTGTGTGTGTGTGTGTGTGCGTGCATAGTCTCCACTCAGCATACTGATGTCTCAGCAGCTCCTAGAACCCTGACTCCCATTGGGCGAAGGAGACCAGTGGTTCCTGAGATGATACAGCCCATATTACTTAGGAAGTTCTTCCTCTGTGGACACCACTGTCCTTGTTAGCCTTGTCGAAAGTCTGGTTGTCTCTTCCTATCTGTGTGGCATTGCTTCCAACACCCCCCCCACACACACACACACACTCACACAGATAGCAGATTCAAGTTCAAGTCTCCAACATAAAGTAATGCAGAGTTCTCATACACTTTGTCATACTTGGTACAATACAGAGAGATGCCTTGTATGTAGTCACTGTGTTGTTTGGGGAATAGCAAGAATGAAGTGTGTGTACATGCACAGTCCAGACAGATTCCCCCCTCACGCACTTTCAACCCTCGGTTGTGGAATCTCAGACGTGGAACTTGTCGTCGACAGGGAAACCCACTACGTTTACTTTGTGCTTTTGCAAACAATCCTTTCCGTTTGTAGCAGCCCAGAAGATGGAGAAGGGGCGGTCAAGTCAAGGCTCATGAGCAGTCAGTGCTCTTACCACGGAGCCATTCTCTGGCACCAACAACGCCATCCCACAGCAGTTCTGTGCAGTTTCCGTCAGTTAGGTCCTGGGAGTTCTTAGGCATATATATATATATCTTTGGGGGAGATTACATTCCTCTGAGTCTGGCAAGCCTTTCTGGCATGGTTACATCACGTGCATGAGTTAGGAGGAGGAAGCCCTTGCTGTTGTCTCGAACCCCAGTGACTTTTTTATTGGGTTTGGAGTGTTGTTGCCCAGGGAGTGTTCCTTATGCCTCACAGATGTGTCGCCACACAAACACTATGTGCCAGTGCAGTATATTTTAGAAACGTAAGACATACCTAATCCTTCCTTGGAAATGTCTGTGCAGAGTATCATGTTACATGACAAGTACCCCTGGCTTTAGAGACACCTAGATGCCACCAGCGACGTAGCATGAGCCAGACGTGAGCCGGAGGAGCTTAGGAGAGAATTCGGGAATGATACAGCTGTATTAATATAAGGGAAGGATTCACGCTGTGTCCTGAAAGCAGCATGGAAAGGACCTGGAGACAGCTGGGTTTCAAATAGACAACGTCTACCCAAGCAGAACAGTCTGTTAGTTCCTTTAGGACATGCTCTTCCTACCACATTTGGGGAATTGCAGTAGATCTATTTCACACTGGAAAAGAAATCTAAGTGCCCTGTAAGATCCCTGCAGCTTGCACAACACCCTTGAAGGCCCCTGTAAGCCTTACCTGCCCAGGCACAGTGTGGGGCAGTAAGGAATGCAGCCGTGGCTGAGGACAGAACTGTCTGAGGCGGATTAAGGGTTAACCATGGAGGGCTGGGCGGCGGCGGCGGCGGCGGCGGCGGCGGCGGCGGCGGCGGCGGCGGCGGCGGCACACGCCTTTAATCCCCCCACCCCACCCCCACTCAGGAGGCAGAGGCAGGCGGATCTTTGTGAGTTTGAGGCCACCCTGGGCTGCAGGAAAGGTGCAAAGCTACACACAGAGAAACCCTGTCTCAAAAAACAAAAACAAACAAACAAACAAAAAAAGGCTTACCACCTAAGACCAGTTTCCTTTCCATCTTGGTTTGGAACAGCTTTTCTGTCTTGTGGCCATGAGCCACTCTCCCTCAGTTGCTCTTTGGCTGTTTGCTAACAATATCAACTTCAGACATTTCAGTTTTGTTTTATGAGGGTCTTTCCCAAGACTTTTGAGTAGTGTCCTCGGCCCTGCTGGCTGTAGTACATCCAGACAGGGTTGTTTTGTGTTGGTGTCTCCCTTTCTCTGCCGGCTTCAACCTGGGGCATCTCTGGTCTCCGGGAGGTGTGAGATCCAAATGCCCTCCGGATAGAATTCCTCAGACAATAGAAGATTCTGGCTTTGCTAGTAATCGGAGTTATGGTACTTGGAACACTTGGACTCAGACATTGTAAAAGAGAGGGCTGAGCTGAGTTGATGAGGAGAGTGTCTGCCAGGTGTTTGGAGACACCTCTGTCTACAGTTGGCCCGTGGTAAGAGATGCTCTGCAGCGCAGTGTTTTGTGCTTTTCTGGGAAGGCATCACATCTGTGTCAGAGAAGAAACTGATCCATAACTCTAGTCCCACAGTGTGTCTTCACCATAGTGCCCACCATTATCGTTAGCCTGCACTCTGTTCTTCACAAGGTGCAAGAGAAGAAAGATCTAGAACCAGAAAGCATACACTTAAACCCTAGATCTTCTCTCTAACTATTAGGGTAACCTCTAGTTACCCTCAGTTTCTCATCTTCTAAACGGAAGTCATTGGAGGATTAACCGTTAGGTTACCATTTATTGCTGGCTACCTCACCACCAGCCATCTGCTGAGACCTCTCTTAGTTAACTCTCCATCATCAATGGAGATTAGTTTCCGGTCTGAACAGAGAAAAGTCTTCCACACACGAAAGCCACCAGCAACGTCACAGAGGACGCAAACTATTGACTTAACCCACAAAACACAGCTAAAAGTCAAAAGGACAAATTCCCTTCATGTAGCGAATTTCAAACCCTCAGATCTCTGTAGAAAAATAAGCAAACCTAGGAATAAGTAATTCAGAGGGAAGAAAATACAGTAACACAAACACTTAACCATTTATTCTCATGGATAAACGGAAGGAGTGAGAATGAAGAGTACGTGAGCGCCTGTCACACTAAAAAAACGGCAGCAGCCAGCACTCCGTGCTAGCCGGAAGGCAGCAGAAGCCCACTTTGCATTGCTGGTGGGCATGTGAACGGAAGCAGCTTTTCTTTGGAGCAATGTGACAAGATGTGTCAAGAGCTTCCACAAATGTTCACTCCCAGCTGATCTGACAATCCCACTTCCAGGAACTCGTCCCTGGGAAATCATCAGCCATGTGGGCAGGGATTTATGTAAAGATGTTATTTTTAAGTGGACACAACCCCAAGTGGCTAACAGTAGAAGGAAACTCCGTAGGGTGGGATGATAAGCAATCATTCGAAAGTGTGCTTTTAAAGAGCATGAGGTGCTCTATAGAAAATCTTCAGTATATGCACAAAATTTTTTAAAACTAGGAGGAAATATACCAACTGTTAGCAATGATCTAAGTAATGGAATTGTTGTTAACCTTTCTTTATATTCTATTTTCCTTAATTTTTGTTCAGTGGAATCCAGAAAGGGAAATGGGGAAAATGTTTTTAGTGCCCCTCCACCAACACCAATATCTGTAGCACTGTGTATTCCAGAAAGAATGGACAAGAAACCAAGGGTGTGTTGACACAGAACAATGGGATAGGTGTTGCTCTTCCTTCGTCAGTACTCCCTTCAGATCCAGACCAGTTTTGAACCAGCAGATTGTTGACATCAATCATGGACACTCACATTATCTCCTGGTTTTTATTTAGATATTCAATTCTACTTAATAGTTTTCTGACTATTGAGGACTTGTGGTTGAGACATAGGCTCAATGATTTGAGCTAAATCTGTGCTAACTGCAGGTGGTCTGGGCTCTGGTTCACTGCGCTGGTCTGTGTTTGAGAGGGCAGTAGGGCAGAGGGAGGGGCCCGAACTACAGTTGTGAGTGCTTACCCAAATACAAGACATCCCTGCTTCCCTCATAAGGACTCTCTTAGTGCTCAGGATTGGAGCAGGGCAACACACAGAGTGAAATTCGTGTCTTCCTTCTAAGAAACATCTGTATGAAAATACTAGCTCTTAGTTTTACAGAGTATCTTTGGTATGTGCCAAAATGGGAGGGAGGTGTATTGATAGATATCACTGCTAAGTGTCAATTAAAATAATGCTTATGTATTCAGAATTCAAGTCTTAGAGAAGAGGAGCGTAGAGGTGAGCGTTCTTTGAATTACAAGTTTTTTAACCTTCTGAAATTCAGTGTCTGGATCTAGCACCCCAGGATGTGTATTTTAAACACACTTAGTTCAGTCTAACATAGGCTGCTGAGGCCAGAACATGGGAACTGTTGTAAAATACTATACTGTCATATTTTACTGTGCCGTCCAATGTGGTATCCATACTCATCCCCGATGGCTTTTGAGCCCCTGAAATGAGGCCAGATTGACTGAGGAACTGAATTTAAATTTTAATTAACCAGTTGTTAGATTGAAATGCAGACAGCCACCTGTGACCACATGCGCTGTGAGACAGAGCAACCCTTACTGCGTTCAGCCTTTCACACGAGTCATTTGTCAGCCCGTCCTTCCAACCGGATATACAGTTCATCGTTCTGACACAGGAGTGCACAGATATGGCTCTAGAACCTTCTGTAGGGAGAACACTGGCAGCACCAAGTCCTGTAACCGGCGGGGGTGGGGGTGAGGTGGGGGTAGGGGGTGGGAGGAGTCCTTAGCAACCTGCTCATCACGTGAAATGGTCCCACTCATAACCTTTTCATCCCACCAAAGAGAACCCCCCAAATCTTCTCAGCCCAGGTTTCCTGGTGGCTTTTGTAGTAGTTTTATTTTTTAACTAAGGAAATCATTTCTGATCTCCTCCCCCGTTGTTTAAAGGGCTTAAAAGTTCAGCATGGTGAATTTTTATGGGGCTTTTAATAGGAAGCCGAGTATTGTAAACACACCCAGATGATCACAGTAGCATAGTTCAAGTCTTTTTACTATGCATGCTTCGAATCAAAATATGAGACCGATGAGGCCAATTACAACTCTCCAACTCTCACAGGCCTTATACACGTGCTCACACATACTCTGGTAATAGGAGGCAAACGCCTAGACAGAAACAGTCATCATCCCCAGCAAAACTGGAAGCCCAATGCGGGCAGATGGGGTATTGGTCTTGTAAGGCTCTGAGCCAGACCAAGCTACGGCATCAGCCAGCTCACAGAATCCAGTGTGCGTGACTCAATGAGTCATTGTTCTTGCTGTCGAGGTGTCGGCTGAAGGGGCATACAGGGGAGAGAGAAGGAAAAGTCGGGGGAAAGCCTCATTTGGGGCCAGAGTGACTGAATTTAGGAGGAATTGTTGGCCTCCCTGACCTGACTAGTAGGTGATGGGCAATTGTTATGAACCAACTCCATCTAGTCGGGTGGAATGGATTGGCACCACAGTGATCACCTAAACTAGAGATCAAAAAAAAGGCACCAAAGAACTGGAACTGGAGCCAGAAGAGACTGATTTCATTTCAGCTTTTAATAATTGAAACCTCTCTGGACTAGAGCCCATTTATTTTTTGTCTGGTGTTACAGTCCAAGAAATTCAGTAAGGTGGACTCCCTATGCTTGTGACATGTCTGCCCACTGATCAGCACTTTTTTTTTTTCTTGAAAATTTAGGCACAAAAAAATGAGAGAGAGTCTATCAGACAGAAGTTGGCCCTTGGAAGCTTCTTTGACGATGGCCCCGGAATCTACACCAGCTGTAGCAAAAGCGGGAAGCCCAGCCTTTCCTCCAGGTGAGTGCGCTTTTGAGTTGGTTTTCTGGTGTGTACCGTGTGGTGCCTGTAGGTCTAATAAAGGACACGCCTGTGTCCTTTTGTGGTTAGTTCAGGGTTCTAGGCAGACCCCTTCCCACTTGTGTGTTCCTTTATTTTCAGTGGTGATTGTTGCTATGGCCCATTGCGCAGTGGCGGGAAGTGATGTTTTTATATTTCATTGGTCTTTGAAGAGAACACTGATTTCACAGTGTGGGGGATGGGTGATCAGGCCACAAGCCTAAGCAAGTGATACCTTTCACCTGTGGCAGACCACCAGATTTCCCACAAAGCAGCCCCAAAGTCACCCAGAGTCCCCCTTAATACGTTTGATTGCAATGAATACCATTACACGAGATATATAACTCTCACTTTGATCGTTCAGTGTTTATTACTGTTCTTCACTTGTCTGCTAGGTAGTTTTTTCTTGGTCTTTATTTTAGGATATCATTACTCACTTAACCATTAGTTCTTTCAAGAGGTTATTGGTAATTTGCATAGCTTTCCTTTCCAAATAAAATATGTTAAGGTTCCCACTTTGCCAGGAAAAGAGAAAAAGCTTCTGAACTTTTAACACGTTTATATGGGGAATTGAGGTGAAGGTTCTGATTCAGTGTGTCTCAGCTGAGCTTGAAACCCTTTATTTCTGTACCACTCCCAGCTGAGGACCATGCCACCATTCTGGGGGCTAGTGGATACTCCCACTAGTAGATAATTTTCAAAAGTGTTACATTCCAAGCGCTTGATGAAAGCATAGAACATTGTTTCCATGAAGAGAGTTGTAACCAAAGATCCATCAACACTCCTTGATTCCCTCCACCCCCACCCCCATCACATCTGGTTCTCTGTCTTTTGAGCCGGAAGCAAACATGCCCTATGTAAGTACTGCATATAATGACAACATTAAGCCCAGAGCCAGCAACAAATGATAGCGCCTTGCATTCATTCAGTCAGAAGATGACTGCTGTATCTCTGCTTCATGGGAGACCCAGAATTAGGCAACCCAATATCTACCTAGTCCTGCCCTGTCTGATTTTACTAAGCCTTGTCTGGGGCTTGGAGAGCCCTGTAAATCAGCAGCGATCAGAGGCAGACACATGCTCACACGAGTGCATGTGTTCCAAGCAGTACAGGGAGGTGGGTGCCTCAAGAGCACACTCTGGTTTGCCCATGGAATGTTAAGGCATCTCCTCCTTAGCTGGGTACTGGCCTTCTCTTCCAGTATTGCCCTCAGGAGCTAGAAAGTTAGTCTGCCCCCTGGCCTTTCACCTCCGGGTAGCTGTGGCAGAAAGGTTCTGGCCTGGAGACCTGCAGGTTTGTCTTACCCTACTTTGCATAATGAGAATAACAACTCATTTCATTTTACTCATCCTGACTTTTCCTGAGTGCAAAATGAGGAGACTGGGCCTTACAGATTTTTGCTCTTGCTCTCTGCTCCACCCCCAGGGGACCAGAATGTCTTATCTAGATGCCCCACCTGTCTTGGCACACTGTTACATCCCTCTGGCACAAATGGGAAGCTTTCTTTGTAAACTCATACCTCTGTGTTCTTATCAGGTGTGTTTAATATATTTGTGATACATGTCATGCAGTTTGATAAAATGCATTTACTTATTAATGAAATGTGTGTTTACATATATCCATGAAGGTGGCAGTGACCATATTCATCGTTCCTTGACCCCCATACCCTGCTCTATTATAATGTAGAGAACTGGGTATTGTAATGTGTGTATACACACGTGCCAGCATCTTGTTCTGCTCTGTAGAAGGAGTACACTCCAGCTCCTTGGCTGCTACTTTGGGTGTTTACCTACATATCTGTACATAAAATGCTTATGTGCTCAGGTTTTAGTTTAAATAGCCATCTATTATTTCTCTGAGTTTGAGGCCAGCCTGGTCTATAGGGTGAGTTCCAGAACAGTCGGGGCTACATAGAAAAATACTGTCTATGGGAAGGAAGGAAGGAAGGAAGGAAGGAAGGAAGGAAGGAAGGAAGGAAGGAAGGAAGGAAGGAAGGAAGGAAGGAAGGAAGGAAGGAAATAAAATTGGGATTTATCTTTTATCACATTCTGCCCACAAACACGCCCTCCATTCTTCTTTTCATTCTCCCTTTGTAGTTACAGCACAACTTAGGATCGGTTAACTATCAAATGTGAGTGTTCTTGAGAGCAGACATTATTTCACCTGAGCCATATAACGTGTTTGAGTTACTTGAGGCACACTGCTGTTTGACGTGAATAGCCAGTTCCTCTTTTGTACTCTCTGCCCATGCATGCGTCGTTTTGAATTCCACAGTCTGCTCTCCTAAGTGAATGCAGTAGTTTATGTAGCCACTTTTGTAATGGTGGGCACTGGGATGTTCTGGAATGCTTGCGGCTGTCACATGCTGCTCAGAAACCCTCTTGTCCATGTCTTCTGCACAGGTTGGAGAATTTCTCTTTAGTGTGCACACAAGGGTGGATTTATGAGGAAAATACATGAATGTTCCCACTGATGACATAATGACAATCATTTACCAACCTGGTAGTCACAGGATACTCTCCTAGCAGGAGTCTTTCAGAGACCCCGTGCCTCTGAGACCTTTCAGCACTTTGTATTATCTTTGAAAAACTATTTGTTAGTTAAGTAGGAATATGGCAGCATTTCGTGTTGTTAACTAGTTGCATATTCTCTTCTGTGAAAAGTCTGTGTCTTATTTCAAATTTCTGGTATTCTTCCTCCTCCTCCTCCTCCTCCTCCTCCTCCTTCTTCATGTGTATGCGTTTCCTTATCAAGGTTATTTAGTCATAATATTACTCATTATATTATTCCATATTATGAATCCTAAATACACATTGCAAATATCTTTTCTCAGCTTGTAACTTGTTTTTCACTTCCTTATGTGTTTTGTGACTATAAGTCTTGATTTTAATATAAGTAATTTTTTTTTCTGGTCAGTGTTGCCTATAATTTTGTGTAAGAAATCCTTACCTGGGCATGGTGGTACTTGTCTGCAGTCCCCACCCACAGGAAGTGTAGGGAGAAGGGTCAGAGCTCAAGGCCCACCTGAGTAGACAGCAAGTTTAAGGTGAACCTGTGCTACAGAAAACCCTGTCTCGAAAGCCAAACAAAACCTATTTCTACCCATAGTCCTGTAGATATTTGCTAGTCCTACCAAAGGTTGAAAGTGTTGGTTTTTTAGAAATCTATAATCTGTCAATTGATTTCTTTACAAGGTATGGGAGAGAAGACTGCTTTCTTCTTCCTCTTTATAGCAACCATTTTATTATGTTTAAATCAAAGAGAAATTCTCACCTGTGCAGAAGACATGGACAAGAGGGTTTCTGAGCAGCATGTGACAGCCGCAAGCATTCCAGAACATCCCAGTGCCCACCGTTACAAAAGTGGCTACATAAACTACTGCATTAAACATAATTAATTAATTAATTACCTCCTCCACTCACTGATCTCTCAGATCACTCCTGCTCGTGCTTTACAATCATGGGAATATTTATTTTACTTGTTTATTTCATTGTTCCTACTCTTGCTCCAAAACTTTATTTATTTATTTATTTTAATTACTATAGCTTCAAAATACATCCCAGTATTTGGATAGTCAAGTCTCCTTAATTTTTTCAGTCAGACAAAAAAGAAAATTAATGCTTTTAATAAAATGAGAGAATACATCTTGGTTTTTTTTTATTCCTTCATATAAATTTAAGTCATCTTATAAAGTTCAATAATTTCATAGATTTTTTTAAAGATTCTCATTGAATCTGTGTATAGATCAATTTAGGAAGAATTACATTTTCACAGTATGAAATCTTCTTATCCATGAACACAGTCTATCTTTCCATCTATGAAGTCTTTTTGAAAATAAGGATTTGTTTTTTTTCCATTTAGAGATGCTGCACATGTTTTGTTAGACTTACTTCTAGAGACTTCCTGTCTTGACTCTTTAAATTCCCTTTAATAAAGCTTTCTTGTGGCTTGCTGCCAAAGAGAAAGAATTGCAACTAACTTCTTAAGCTAGCCAACCCCCCTTTCTACCACTTCCTGTGGCGGGGGGAGGGGTCAAACCTAGTCCTGGGAGTGCTAGTCCGTGCTCTGCCACTATGCTATACCACCCGTGGGTCTTATACTCACTTTACTATCGCTGATATTACTTCTGTAATTTCTTATAGCAGTCTGTGGGTTACAAAGATTCTTTGGGGATTTGTAAACAATCTCTTTTACCAAGTGCAGTGGCTCAATTGATTTCTCCCCAGCCTCTGGCCCCTGTTTTCTTTCTCTGTTTCTTTTGTACTTGACTTTGGACTTTGTATTTGAATACAGTGAGGATTAGAAATCACTGTGGGTACAATCATTAGCTCACTCCTCATACTGAGTAGACTGGTTCTGCAGTCGCCTTTTTAGAGGGACAGTAACTATATGTCATATCTAATTACTCTTTGTATAGAATTAGTAATGTTCCCCTGTATTGATAATTTACAAAGAACCTTGATGGTAAGTGGGCGATGAATACTACCACATGATTTTTCTTCATTGCTAAAATAATTTTGTCACTTACTTGATCTTGATCTGTTAGTGAATCAGTGAAGTACATTATAGATTTTCAAAATATTGAACCATCTTTGCATATCCAATATAAACCTAAGCTAATTGGTATAAACTTTTTTCATATTCTTAATTTTTAATATCTTACTTAAGATTATTACATTTATATTCATGATTGGCATGGGTCTTTTTATATTCTTTTCTTTTTTTTTAAGATTTATTTATTTATTGTGTATACAGCATGTATGACTACAGGCCAGAAGAGGGCACCAGATCACATTACAGATGGTTGTGAGCCACCATGTGGTTGCTGGGAATTGAACTCAGGACTTCTGGAAGAGCAGTCAGTGCTCTTAACCTCTGAGCCATCTCTCCAGCCCTTATATTCTTTTCTTAAAATATTTTGTCTGATTTTAGAATTATCTGGCTTAAAAATGGGCTGGGAC